ATTCAGAGTCCTACTATGGGTATGTTCTGGTGAAGCCACCACCAACACCGACTGAACTCTGGGCATTGCCACTGAAATGCTGCCATCGTTGTCTATGGAAGTGAGGCATAGATGCCACCAGCCATGTCTGAATGGATTCTGCCCTGTCCCTGCTTCTTTGCCTCGTTAGTTTACAATTGAAAACATGGAGCAGGTGTTCTGACAGGCAGAACCTCGTTCACATGCCTGTGTACTAGCTGCCAGGAAGACTGGAAACGTGAGTATCTTGTATTTTGAGCATGTATAATGGAAGGGGGCCGTGCCTCATGAACTGGGTGTCCCTCAAACATAGGGCGAGGCTTTAGATTTTGAGCAGCCAAAAATAAATGAAAGGCCCACAACTTCAAAAATTCCAAATTCCTGCAGACTTAGTTTGATTTCTAAACATACTTATTCAATGCTAAGAAATTCAGGATTATAGGTTTGATTTCCATTACTGGTTATAATCAGTTCATTACCTTCTCTTCCATAACTTCACTCAGCAGTTCTACAAATTATTTCTCTGATGTCAAGAAAGTCAGAGGAAAGTGTACATGGATTAGTCATTGCAAAGCCATTCTGACCTTAGGAAAAAAAATTCAGATTATAGGTTTTGCTGATGTGGAGTTAGTTTTCAAGAAAAATGCTTATGTACTTAACTATCTGTGAGGTAACTGGATAAATTTTATCACTGAAGTTGATAATTTTCCCTTACTCTTCAAGTTTTAAAACTTTATTATAAAATATTTGAAAAGACAGTTAACATAGTTCGTAATTCCATTAACTAATATCAACAATTCAAACACCTTAGGATATCTTCCTGAGCATAATAATGTGTTACAAATCATTACAGATTGATGAGTTTTGAGTTTTCTTCATGAGGATTCATAGATGCCAGGACTTTTTTCTCAGTTCTCTTTAATTAACTGGTAGTTTATAACTTTGACTAATTGCCCTTTCAAAACCAAATAGGTTAAAACCAGACTCAAGAGGTTTTGAATACAATTCAACCTTGCTAGTGTGTTGTTTCAATAAAACATAGAAATATACACAAATCTAATAATTCACAAAAATTTTATGCTATCCTGTTCTTCACCCCAGGAGGAATATATTCAATCAAATAAAAGTGCTATTATCATTAATCTGATATAAATTAAAAATAACTGTCACTCCATAATGTAGTGGCACTAAGAAGCTAGACCAACAATTTGAATCCTGGATCTGCTACATAATTACCATAAACCAAAACCAAACCAAATCTGGTGCTGTCGAGTCAATTCTGACTTATAGCAACCCTTTAGGACAGACTAGAACTGCCTGATAAGGTTTCCAAGGAGCAGCTGGTGGATTTGAACTGCCGACCTTTTGGTTAGCAGCCAGGCTCCTAACCATGCACCACCAGGGCTCCACTCTTAGAGTTATTGTGAAAATTAAATGAGTTAATATAAGGAAAGCACTTAGAACAATACTTGGCGCATGGCAAAAAAAATAGATGTTAGAAAATTATTATCTCAGAAATTTTTTGATTTAGCTTTTTAAGTTTTCATTTTGACATAATTTCAAACTTACAGAAAAGCCACAAGAATAGCCCACTCTTTGTATACCCTCACCCAGATTCCCCAAATGTTAATATTCTGCCACATTTGCTTTCTCCTTGTCTGTGTATACGTGTGTATTGTTTTATTTTTAACCATTTGAAAGTAAGTTCCACACATGATGCCCTTTTACCTTTAAGTATTTCAGAGTGCGTTTCCTAAAAGTAAGAACATTTTTTTACATATCCGAGTACAATGAACCAAATCGGGAAATTATCACTGATACTACACAATTACCTAATCTACAGACCTGATTCAGATTTTGCCTGTTGTCCCAATAATACCATTTATGGCAGAAGAAAATCCCAGATCCTGCATTTCATTCCATTGTCATATCCCGTTAGCCTCCTTTAATCTGGAACAGCTCCTCAGGTGTTTGTTTGATTTTGTCCTTAAAGACTTTGACATTTTTTATAAGTGTCAACCAATTATTTTGTAGAATGTCCCTCACTTTGGATTTGTCTGATGTTGTCTCATACTTACATACAGTAAATGTACTTCTGGCAGGAATACTATGGAAATGATACAGCATTGTTTTAATTGCACTAGATCAGGAAGCACATGATGTTTGTCTCATTATTAGTGCTGTTAACTTTGATTACTTGGTTAAGATTGTGTCTGCCAGATTTTGCCGTTCTAAAGTTACCATTTTTACCTTCGTGATGAATATACTTACAGGGAGATACTTTGAGACTGTGCATGTATCGTGTTGCTCCATAAACTTTCACCCACTAGTTTTGGCAGTCATTAATTATTATTGTGATGATTGCCAAGTAGTGATTTCTAATTCCTTCATCTCTCCTCCAGTTGTTAGTTGACTTTCTACAGAAAGGAAATGCTTTCCCTGCTCCCATATTATATCACTATAGATTCATGGATTCTTATTTGTATTAAATGGGTTGTAATCTATTACAATAATTATTTTCATACTCAAATTATCCCCCATTTGGCCATCTGGAGCTCCTTCAAGCTGGCTTCATGTGTCCTCTTGTCAAGTCCCCATTATTCTTTGAGCGCTTCCTTACTTTCTGGCACAAGATGTTTCAGACTCATTTTACCCAGCCCTGGAATTGCCCATTTCTCCAAAGATGCTGGTTTATGTTTTAAGTAGAGGAAAGAATCTTCTATCTTATGCCGACTTTCCAAAATGATATTTACAGATGAAACTGAGAAGATCCTTAAGTACATATATTAGAAACACTTTAAGATTCATTCATTCTCTCAATCATTAAGCTTCTTTTGTGTGCTTCAGGTTAGGCGCTCCTAAGACAAACCCCAGTTAACATTTCAAAACAATGTCAAAATAATTGATGTAGGCAATTAAATGCTGTAAGTGTTCAGAGATGGGCTGGAAAACTTGGAATTGAAGAAATGTTCAATTCAGGGGCACTGCCTGAGTGAATATATGGAGCCAACAATAAGCATGGTTTATTAGGGAATTTTGAGGGGCCTGACTAATTGGGAGAGATAAAAATATTGATAATTAATGGATAGGTGGAGTTTAGGTTATTGGGAATCTGGATTCTAGGCTGACTCATTCAGAATATATTGTGTGGACAATAAAATGTCCTTTAAAGTTTTGGGGCTGGGTAGTCATAAAGAGTATGCTTTGGGAAGTTTAATCTGATGTTATATTGCAGAATAGATTAGAAAACAGAAGATGATTAGGAAACTCCTAAAATAATTGAGTCTAAAGAAGTAGGAGTACAAGTAGGAATGGATAGATAGGAAAATAATTTGGAAGGAAGAAATGACTTTAGTTTATTGAATAAGGATCATTTGGAGAATAGGAACTCAGAAATAGGTAAGTGGTGTTTATGAGGAAAAGAAAACAGAAATCATCTGCAAATAGAAACTCAAAGAAAAACAGGTTTAGTGATACTGAAATTTTAATTTAATTTTTTTCTACAATGATCAAGTAAAAGCCGTAGAATTATTCAATACCTTTTTATACAAAACAGTATGCTTGAAGAATAATAACCTGGGGCCATGCAATGTCATAATTACTAGATAGAGTAATGTTCATTGAATTTCACAACACTTTGTTGGAAATAGATATTTGGTAATAATAGAAAGTTGTTTTGGTTTGATATGCTCTAGTATATTCAGCCACATTACCAGTCTCAAACCAGGTCTCTAGATTGAGACCCTGATTCCTGCTTGCTTTCAAATGTGTAGCTCTTGGGGTAAGACATTTGTTTCCAAGTGCAGCGTTTGATTCTTTGGGTATTATTGAAATTCACCTTTTTCTCCCCCATTAAAAAAAAAAAGTTATTGTTTAACTTCTACTTTGTCTATTGAAGAAACTGTCAGAAACTAAGAACTTAGCTGCACAAGCTATTTAAATCACCAAATATTGCAGCCAAGACATTCTTTACCATATATTGGGAGATGAAGGTAGAAAGTACCTGTCTTAGTCACCTAGTGCTGCTGTAACAGAAATACCATGAGTGGATGCTTTAGCAAGGAGAAGTTTATTCTCTCACAGTCCAGTAGGCTACAAGTCCAAATTTGGGCATCAGCTCCAGGGGAACACTTTCTCCGTTGGCTCTGGAGGAAGGTCCGTGTCATCAATCTTCCCTTGGTCTGGGAGCTTCTCAGCACAGGAACCTCAGGTCCAAAGGACGTGCTCTGCCCCCGGCACTGCTTTCTTGGTGGTGTGAGTTTCCCATATGTCTCTGCTCACTTTTCTCTTTTATATCTCAAAAGAGATTGGCTTAAGACACTGTCTAATCTTGTAGACCTCATCAGTATAACTGCCGCTTATCCATCTTATTATTACATCATAGTGATAGAGTTTCAGCACATACGGAAATCACATCAGATTACAAAGTGGTACACAATGATACGATACTGGAAATCATGACCCAGCCAAGTTGACAGATATTTTTGGGGGACATAATTCAGCCCATGACAGTACCTAAGTTCACACATTCCACAAGAAGTGAGAACGAATGTTCCTAAACAGATATTTTACCATTTTGTTAATTTTCACAATTACTTCGTTCTTGATCTAAAACCAGGCCATCATTCTTCTTCATGGATATAGCAAGAAAAATGACAGAAGTTTGTTATCTCTTTAGCTAGACTTGTTATCTCATCAGGTTTTCTGTACTGGCTTGAGGGGTAAAAGTGACATCTGAGGACTAAATCTCGTTCTTTCCATAGGGTACCAAGCAAGTTTGTTCATTTGTTAGTAAGTTAACATGTGGACTTCCTAATTAAAATCTGTTGAAAGAAATTATTACATGAAGGAATGTATTAACCGTATAACACGTTGGGATAGTGCTGGGCGACTGTCATAATTTCTGCTGCTAGTTTACAGAAAGGAGAATAAAGTGGTTCTTTTTGTTGGGAAAGAAGATTTTATGTTATCTGTGTTTTCAGGCTTTCTGGCTCATACGCTGGCGGAATCCTTGCTGCGGGGGTGTTTTCATTTTCTCATCTAACATGGCAGTGGTCCACTGCAGCAGAGGTTTTCAGCTTAAACAATCTGTTTGTGGGGCTGCTTATGGCTCTTACTGTACATTTTGAGGAGGCAGCAACTGCAAAAGAGAGATCAAAGGTAACCTATTTTGATCAAAGTGAAATAATTTTTTGTTTTAATTTTTAGACAGATACTGTATTTCTTAAAGTTTAGATACTGTTTGTCTATTCTGATTACTGTCAAAGTAATCTAGGCATGTTGGGAGAGAAAATGTTCTCAGTTCTTTTATTGTGAATGGAACTGCTATAGCCTTTATAAAACATGCAACCTCATCTCCCTCCCCCGCCCCCAGAGCTCAAAAGTTTTTTGGGCAGAGGGAGGGGATGAGGGAATTATCAAATCCGCTGTGAGTCCTGTGGAGAAGACAGGCATGTTGGCTAATCCCACCATCATTTGTGTGTGTGTGTGTGTGTGTGTGTGTGTGTGTGTGTGAGATCATAAAATGCCAAGCTCTAAACTGACCAGCTTAAATTCTGTACCATTATGGTACATAGATTTACTCCCTAATTAAAAAAGTCAAATTTGTAATTTTTTCAACTAAAAGAAAAGTATCAAATGTAGAAACAAAGTAGTTTAGAAGAGATTACAGTGTATTCTAGGGCAACCATTGTCATCAAAATCATTGGAAATGTAAAGGAACCCAAGAGTTTATAGTCCATACAGTAGAAAATACCAAATCATCTTAGTATGGACAACCTTGTCTCATTAAAGAATATAAAAACAAAAGAACATCATAGTTTGTCTGTGGTTCACATAAACAAATCTTTGATGTTGTTACAGTTTTTGTTTGTTTGTTTAAAATAACTTTTTTCTAATTAGAAAATAATACATGTTCAAGAAAAGGAAAAAAAAACCTGCAGGTAACTATATCTCTAAATAAAAGCTGTCATGTTCCATGTATTTAATAGGATAAAAAGTAAAACAAAGAATTGCTGAACTTCTGTTATAGTTTTACTTGAATAAGAATTACAGTTAAGGACTGTTTTTGTTATTAGTCCTAACTATTACAGTTAGGACTTACCTAGTCATCACACAGACTTTCTGTAAGTAAGTTTGAAGCCAGACATTTAAGGACACACTGCAGTGATTTAAGGAGAATAAAAAGTATTAGTAAAAAATGATGGTAAATATTAGTAACTGTTAAAGCATGACTGTTTGCATCGAAGAGGTTGATTTAAATCTTACCTGTGGTACAAGTGCTTGGTTTTAATATAAAAAATAGCTTTTTACTGTTATGCTTACTTAGAATTTCAGGTGAATTTTTAACTTAGACTTTTTTTTCTTTTATTTATTTTCAGATAGCTAAAATTGGTGCCTTCTGCTGTGGCCTTAGCTTATGTAATCAGCACACAATAGTACTCTATGTTCTGTGTATAATACCATGGATTCTCTTTAGACTTTTAAAACGGAAGGTAGGTTTTTAAACTTTGTCAAAGTGAAAATTTCTAATATTTTACTTAGGCCCAATATACCACTCAGAGCTTCAGAAAACTTGGGCTTTAATTTTTCTTGTGTTTTATGTAAAGCATAAATAACCTTAGATCCTAACAACATTGACTGAAAAAATAAGATATAAAAAAATTATGCAGTATTCATTGCAGTGGCATCTAGAATGTTTCATGATTTTCTTAAACTGATTCTGAACAGTACCTCAGAGAGGATAGGCTAAAAGGACTTAAAACAACAATATCAAAGTTTCCTTAGTTGTTTTTGTTATACATCCTAAGGCCAAGGATGGTGTACCAATAATACTTCACTCATTCATTCAACTGAGTGTTGAGTGCCTGCTCTGTGCCACATGCTGTTCTCTTTGCTGGAGACAGAGCTCTCAACAGAACAGACAGTATCACTGCGATTGTGGACTAAATAATGAAATCTTGGCAAGTGACAGTCCTGTTTTCTCAGACCTAGAATTAAAGATTATTTATTTTCATTTCTTCTTTCTCTGCAAGGAAAGTGATTATAAATTAAAATGGCGATATAAAGCAAGGTAAAGAAATTTGTTAAAGCATTGGGAGACATAGGTAAAGAGAAGGCAAAGAGCTGAATTAGACAAGAGTCCTTGGAAGGACCAAACCAAAACCAAACCCGTTGCCGTCGAGTCGCTTCCAACTCATAGCAACCCTACAGGACAGAGTAGAACTGCCCATAGGGTTTCCAAGGACCAACTGGTGGATTCAAACTGCTGACCTTTTGGTTAGCAGCTGAACTCTAAACCACTACACCACCAGGGTTTTCCTTGGAAAGACAGATGCCCCTTATTCTGCCAGTCTTTCCTCCCAGAGGTTAAAATAGTCTATATACAAAGCCAGTACTAGGTCATTTTACCTACTACTTTATTTATTGTTTGTGTGTTTGGAATTATACTTTGGCTGCATTCATTTATCATTTTATTATTTGTCAGTTATATCCAGCTATAATCAGAATCATAATAGAAAACATACATATAATAAAATTATTATGTAGAAATAGAGAAATAATTATACCCAAGTTTTAGATCACTGTATGTACTGTACTTGAACACATTTTGTTTCTTAGCTTCTTGGCAGCAAAGCAAAAAGGGTGATATGGAGGTTATAAGATTCTTATTATGTGATTAAAAAAATGAATAAAAGAGAAACAACAGTTGGCAGGAAAGATAAACTTTTTCTTGGAACTGAATTCTGTTAAGTCAATCATGTGAGTCCTTATGTAAGGATATTGAATAGCGTAACAGGCAATATCATTAACAGAGGTTTTATAGAGTATACAGAAAGTTCTTTATATGGTCTTATATAAGCCATTGATTTAAAAAATGGAAATATAAGAAAATATAAGTTAGTGAAGACTTTTCTATGGAATACCTAACTGAGGAGACCCAAATATTTTCTTGTGAATTGGACTGATGCACGGATAGGGGTGGGTGGACAGCATATCCCATAACTTTTCTCATTCTGTATTCATCATCTTAGCCAGGCTTCTGATATCAGCAGAGATCAGAGAGGTGCATTCTCTGGCAAGAACCTGCTAAGCAAATATTTTGTGTTAGTTGATTGAAATGCAAGCCATATGCTTTGTAAACAAACACGCAGAACTCAGAGTTGACAATTTAGAAGCCTGGACTGAGGGCCTGTTTGCCTTGTACTAAAGTAAGCTTCCAATAAATGATGCAATTTTGGGAGCTATGACTTTCAACAGACTTTTCATTTCTATTAGTTAAATAGCAGAGCAACAGGGTAGTTGGAGCTAGATGATATCAGGCAGAGCAAGAAGTCCTGGGTCAGCTGGTCTCAATCCTGGCTGCTCACTTAAATTATCTGGGAAGCTTAAAAAATATCTCTGTGTGTGACATGCATACCCATATATATGTGTATGTATACATACATGGGTGGTGCAGATGGTTAATGCTCTCAGCTGCTAACTGAAAATTTAGAAGTTTGAGTCTGCCTAGAGACCTGGCAATCTATTTCCAAAATCAGCCATAACTGCCTCCTTTGCCATGAACCAGAAGAATTGGATGGTGTCTGCCTACCATTACTGAATATTTTGATCAAAGATTCTATAGAAGAATTCTGATCAAAAGGAGGAAAATACAGAACAGAATTTTAAATTCTCATGGAATCCAGACTTTCTGGAGCCATGGAGGCTGAATAAACCCCTGAAACTATTGCCCTGAGATAATCTTGAAACCTTAAACCAAAAATATCACCTGAAGTCTTCTTAAAACCAAACAATAGTTTAGCTTAGCCAGTAAAGAATGGCTGCCTTAAGCATTATGCTCTTTTAAGATCTGTTTATATGGGGTCAAACTGACAATACAACTTGAAAGATTAAATAGGAAACTTGGGGGGCAGTGAGTTTATGTCAATGGGGGAGGAGGAACAACTCAGAAAAGGAAGATGAGAATGGTCACACAACTCAACGAATGTAGTAAGTGTCACTAAATTGTAACATGTGGAAGCGGTTGAATTGGTGTATGTTCTGCTGTGTATATTCCCAACAATAAAAATATGATAAATCATTTTTTAAAAAATAAAACATTATAGAACACAGTTCTACTTTCACATGTATGGTATTTCCATGAGTCCAAGTTGACTTGATGGCAGCTGGTATATACATACATATATTAATGTATATATGTGTTTACATATGCAGATATATACATACATATGTATACTTATGCTGATCATGACCCTATTGCAAAATAATTCTGATTTAATTGATCTGAGGTGAGACCCAGGCCTTAGTATTTTTAAAAAGCTCCCCAGGTGATTCTAATGTGCAGCTAAGGCTACAAACCACTCTTCTGGACTCTCTGTAATGGCTCTCATCTAATTGTCTCCCTGTTTATTTCCACACAAAACCAGAATATTCATCAACCACATCTTACCATTCTAAATTCAACTTTACAATATACAGAAACTGTTAATATATAAACATTTACTTTCTTTAATACCACTTTAAAGAACAGCAAAGGCATACATCAGTTATTTCTTGTACCCTTTTCATGCCATCCTTTTTTATGCATCTCATTACCACCATAGAAATTGCATCACTGTAATAAAAACACTCCATTCTCAATTAAGGATGTTTATTTGAAAATGCTAATATAAGTCAACTGCTTCTACTTTTGGTGAATGTGAACCTTGATTCTTGTATTCACTCTCGTGTAGATTTCTCTATTTTTAAAGGAAAAAATTGGCAATTTCCAATTATGATATTTGTAATAGACTTCTTTCCCAACTATTAAAGCAACCAATATTTGAATCTTTCTAGTATCCCAGAATTCATATTCTTTTACATTTCATCTTTTTTTTTTTTTTAAAAAAAAGAGCATTTGGTTGAGGTTGGAGGTTATATAAAAGCTAACTTAATCTGTGCCAAACATTTCTATGAAATGTCCAAAACTCCTATAAAGAATCATATTGTCAATGTATATTCATAATAGAGTTAATGGTTATAAGTTTATTCCTGATGATGGTAATGACGCACAGTGACATTAGAACAATGTTTTGAGCATATTCAAAATCAACCAAACAACACCTAATCACCTCCAAGTGTGTTATCTCACCCTACAATGCTGTATGTGATGACATGGCTTTAAATGTAAAAGATGCAATAAACATGATACTCGAGCGTCTTTACTAATACTGTTTGCTTCATTCATATTTCATCTGCCATGCAAAGGAGTTCAGGCTGATGAAATTTTCTAGTAATCCACAGTAATCAGAAGTTTTAACATAGTATTCTGTGGTAACTTAATATAAATTGAGAGATCAGCTCTGTGTAAACATATTTGATGTTTTCCTTGATGTGTTCTTGAAGTTCCAGGATGATTGGACTAAAACAAACATTGTTATACAACTCGATGTGTTCTAATGCAGGAGCTCTCCCTGGGCTCTTTGCTGAAGTTGAGTCTGTACTTCTCTGTTGGTTTGCTGCCCTACCTCTACCTGCCCATCTCATCCTACCTCAATCAAGCCCGTTGGACCTGGGGAGACCAGACAACACTGCTAGGATTTTTGACGCATTTTCTCAGGGAAGAATATGGAACATTCAGTCTGGTAAATCTGTATTTAAAGCTCTTTTAAGGAAATGAATAGCAAAACTTCAGTGTTCTGCTTGGACTTTGACTGGAAAAAAAAAAAAAAAAGACAGTTGATACAATTTTTATTTCAGTTATTTACACAACAAACATGTCTCTTGGAATGTGGACTTTAAAATAGTTTGGGAAAAAAATCGTAATCACTCAACCTGACATCATCCTGTTGTGGTAGAGTGTGCTTTTCAGGATGACAAGCATTCAAAGGCTCTGCTGCCTGCAGTGGAAACACTGTGGTCTTGTTAGCATTGGGTGTCCCTGCGGACACTTGGTCTGTGAATACAAATATTTGGAAAAGATTAAGGAAAAGTATATATATATATATTTTATTTACCTTGACCAAAACGCTTTTTTTTCCTCCACATATTTGATGAACAGTGTTCACGTTAGTATTTTGTTTTTAAAACTGAAGACATATTTTTAAATGCTTCATAAAACATGATTGTACTGAATGGGAAAAATGTGCTTTTAAAAAGTTCCCTAAGATGTAAGTCAGGGGAAAACATTAAATATGACTACACTAAACGTTATCTGACAAATGAAGAATAAACTGAAGGTTTTTTATGTTAATATACGCAGTTGTATCAGATTTTTATCGTTTGCGTTTTTTTGTGTCTTATTTAAGAAGGCAAGTCCCAAAAGAGTACGTATTATATGGTATCATTTATACAAATTCTGAAAGACCATGTAAAAACTATAAACAATCTATTGTTTAAGGATACGCAGAAAAGTAGTACAACTTTTTTTTAATATCAAGGGAATGATTAGCACACAATTCAAGGTAGTTGGTTGGGGAGAGGGGAATGAGGAAAGACGCCTGCGAGGGCTTTTTAAGATACCTTTTTGTCTTGATGAGGTTCTGTTTTTTAAATGAATGATGGGTCTATGATTTTTTTTTTTTTTAGCTCTTTATGCCTTAAATATACATTACACACTTTTTTACGTAAGAGATATTTCATAATAAAATGGATTAATAAAAGGATAATTATTAATTATTATTTTGACAGAGAGTTTGATACTTTAAGTTTATACTGTTGTTTATTTTATGTTGGTTATTCCATAAAAATATTATGTTAGGGCCATTCCATATTGGAAAATTGTATAATTCACACATAATTGTGAAATTATAGACTATCAGAAGATGAACTTAATTCATTGACGTGTTATCGTTCCTGCTGGAATAGTTTAATTGGTTTTTAGCCAATACATTATTTCTGACATTCTTCCTAAAGGATGTTGAGGTTTAGTTTTCACTGACTTTAAAAATTCTGTAAGGCTCTGAAGTAAAGACTTTGAATCAAGAGAGATGTTGCATTGTATATTTAGAACATGTATCTTTTAAACCAAGATGCTAAAATACAATAGTTTAACAAAGCTCCATTTTAATGTTTGCACAAATAAACTTTTCTCTTTTGTGTATAGGCAAAATCTGAAATAGGATCCAGTATGTCTGAGATACTACAGTGAGTATGAAATATTTTAAACTATTTTAAAAGAATTCTCTATTCCTTTAAGTGGTTTTAGAGATTGCTGAGTTTATCTCTTTGTGAAGTATGCCCGAGAAATTGTTTTCAGTTCTAGAGTTAAGAGTTGTTTGTGTACACTGTCAAATCGTCTAGCATTTCTTTTAGTAAGATAAAGCTTAAAGTGAGCAATAAATACAACAGCAAATGAGAATATTAGATGAATGTATAGAGTCTTTAAAACTAAAGTGTTTCAACGTTTAAAAATTGGATTCAAAATTACCCAATGTAGTGTTGCTTTAGAAAGAACTTGTTCTTTTTTCTGGTTTTTATATCTTCTTTCTTTTAGAGACATTTTATAACATTGTACTGAGCAAAGTTTGAACAATTATTTTTGTTTGTATAGTGGTCTTTTAATTCTTCAGAGCTGAATTGTTTTCTAATGTCTCTTGAGACTTTTACTTTAGACTGGTCTTGTAGTACGCTGTGTTTTTTTACTTCAGTATTTTTAGCATCCAACATTATTAGAACCAGCTTAAGCAAAATATTTTTTTTTATATTATCCACTAGTGTTCTTTGAAAAATGGGTTAATATTTGCTTTAAACCTCACACAGATTAAGAAAACTTGAAAAATATCTGTACCAATCCAGCAATACTTGTATAATGTTTGCAATATAATATTGAAGAATAATATTTTTCTATAACACTAAAGTGATCTACTAACTAATTATTAATTTGGGACTCTAAGGACTATTTAACAAAAACATTTTAAAAATATGGGAGAATATTTCAATTTTATATATGAGACAGTTCATAGACTCTCACAGTTTCTATCTTTAGTTGCTAGCTTGCTTGCTTCCTTCCATTCTTTTTAAATAACTTCTAAATACAATACATAATCATAGAAATTTTAGAAAATACAGATAAGCAAAAATTTTTAAAGTAAAATTGCCTATAATTCAATATGCAGAGAACCACTATTATTAATCTATTAACATTCTTATGTATATCCTTCCAATATAAAAAAATTTTGTTTGTTTGTAAAACCTGGGCTCATTATGTGTGTGTATATATATATATATATATATAGTTTTATTAGCCTGCTAGTTTTCACTTTATATCTTGAAAATAATTTCCTTGTTATCAGTTATTATGTAACATTTTAATGGTCTCACACTTTATTTTAAATATTTATTTTAATGTCTCACTAACTTTTGTGCCCCCTTTTTGTTGTGGTTGTTACTGGGGAGAAGGTAGCAAGAAGCTCAGTTTCCCATCTATTTTATCAGTGTTTCCAAATTTTCACTTTATTCTGCTTTACTCTGTACCAAAAGACCCACTACCTATTCTTTTCTATCTACCTTCCAGTAATATTACAGCATTCAGGATTACTGATATATTTTGCCTTAACAAATCCCACATTAACTCCAAGGAATGCTTAAGAGTAATCCTAGACCATAAATCTAGCTTTTTTTAGTTGCACGTAAAAGTACCTGATTTGGGAATTTAAAGACCTGCTTTACTTTAAAATATTAGCATTTAAGTTGTATACTCAAAAAGACTTGATATAAGTGATGGCCAGTCGTTCCCACACTGTTTGTTGGAACCAAATTATACTGTAGAATGAAGGCATAATCCTAGCACTCTGACTGAGTGAGAGAATTTCCAGTTTTTAATTGTTTCAGGTGGACAGGAGTGTTGAGAAAGGCAAGTCATAATTAACTTACAAGAAAATCCTTAGAAATGATAGAACCTAATCATCTAACCCTTTCCAGTTAAGCAAATTAAATTCTTACCCAATGATATCTCTAAATTGCAATCCTGGACAAGGAAATTATTGAATCTAACCCTAGGCAGTGACCATCTTTTAGAGCTTACATTTCAGCAACAGATCTCCAAGAATTAATTTTGGAAAACTGACTTCATTCCTTTTGAAGAATGGTTTGAAATGGGGCTCATGCTGGAATCAAGTTTTTCAAGTGTGTTTGAAAATGAGTAAGGATATCTTCTCATAGTAGATGAGTCTCCATTAGTAAAATGCACATTGTGTGGTTTCCATAATTACGGCATCACATTTTTTCCAGTAAAATTGCCACTAGGGAGAGGAAAGTTCTTTGAGATGGTGAGTATATAGTCATTTCTTTTTTAAAAATTGGAGACTGCTAGAGCAGTAGTTAAGAGCTATTTTAGAGTTCATATAACACCTGGAAAATGCTATTGGTTAATGGAAGAATTGAGTTTAATTGTAGGAAGGAAAAGACACATTTCTTTGAGATTGTGTAAACATTTTAAAAACCAAGTATTATAGAAAACAAAGAAGCCTTTGAGGAAGAAGATAACCCAGAAAAGAATGGTTGAAAATCACTCCTCTTTTCCTTTTTTCTTTGTGATTGAATCTCCCTCAAACTATTTGAATTAAGTTTGTTTTCAATTGCTATGTCACTGGAGGCCTTGTCTACGTTGCTGCCAGGAGAAGGGTCAAAACCCATACCAAACAACTTATTTTCAAGCCAGTCAGGGATAGCCTATAAAGTATACCAATATCAGAAAGATGGAAGAAGTATTTGTTCTGATCCTATCCTAAAGTATGCAAGTTAGTAACCAAATGTTACAATTGGAAGACATTTTAGAACTGTTTAACTCTTTCTTATGGTGCTTTTTGTCCTATATTTAAAAGAAGGCAAAATAATTTTAAAATCTGACCCTAACCCTAAAAGTTATTCAGTGCATAATCATTTATTCCCCAAAGAATATTTTATTTGGAATTAACCAATTTTTTCTTATGCCAGCAATAAATTAGATTGTCTTTTACAGTTCTCAAGTAACAAATATGAGGACAGAACTCTCATTCAACATCCAAGTCCTTGCAGTTTGGGCAAATATATGTTTAGCAAGAAAGTAAGTAATGTATTCCTTTTCCCATGTTTATCAATTGAATTGATGTTTTCAATATGTTATTGTAGAACACTGCCAGTATTAGTTTATATTCCAAGTGAATGACTCTCCTGCTCACTTCTATCAAGACAAATATGTATTGCTTTTTTGCCAGTTTTTCCCCCCGATTATAAATCAATGATTTTGAAAAATTGAGCAGTATATTACAATCTAGCTAAACAAGTCATTTGATATCTTAAACTTCTGGTTTGATCCCTTACCCTGCCAATATCCAGTTATTACTGTTGCTTTGCAAAAGAAGCAAACAATTATTTAAATTTCTCTGACAATAAACGAAAACCTAAAAAATGTAGGACTATTGATCTCCATTTACTTTTTTTGTTCACTTTCTCATCTGTTGAGTATCTGTACTTAACATTTGTATGGGAAGTGTATATAGGTACCTACATCTATAGTTTTGTTTCCTTAACACTTATTTAACATTATATGTGAGCATTTCCCCATATTATAAAAAATTCTTAAGATCATTTAAATGTCTATATAGTATTCTATCCTATGACCATAGCAGAATTTATTTAAATGTTCGCTTACTCAAGGATATTTAGACTGCTTCCACTTTTTCCACTATTATCATAATACTAAAGTATCTTTATGGATTAATCTCTATCTACATATCTGGTAATTTCTTTAAGATTTGTGCCTCTATGTGAAATTACTGGGTCAGCAAATGTGAATATTTTAAGGCTCTTGATATATATCATCAAATTACTTTCCTCAGAGATTGTACTAGCATTCTACTATATTCTCACTAACACTGAAATTTGTCATTTTTAAGCCTTTATTATTTTGATGCATAAAATGTTATTTTATTTTGCATGTTTGATTACTTCTTAAGTATAGTTTGTATTTCTTTTGTGAATTTTAACTTTATGTTCTTTGCTGCGTAGTTCCAAGTTGTATATAATATGTAGTTCACTGGTCTATTTTGTTTGTCTGTTTTAACTCAGATTTTTAAAACTGAGATCTTTCCCTGTTCCTAGTTAAAAATGGAAAGTTGTATAGATCCAAATATTTTTTGTGTAGTTTAAAGCTATATAATGTTATTTATAATGTTATTATTGATACTCATGCGTATAAATAATTTTTGGATATATTTTTGTTATTTTATTTTTTTTGCAGGGACAGACCAAATCCATCATTAGTATGGCTTTTTACTGGAATGTTTTGCGTTTATTCATTGTTCTTTGCTTGGAGGGCAAATTTAGATATCTCGAAACCACTTTTCATGGGTGTGGTAAGTTTTACTTAGATATATCCTTTGACCGGAAATTTTGTGAAGAATGTCCAAATGTGTCCTTCATAAATCTTATAGAAGAGCAAATTATTTCTGGAATAGTCATTATATATTATTATAAGTCAAAAGTTAAAATTTTTGAACCAGTAAAGCTAAAAAAATTTTTTAGGAAAAAAAAAATTTTAGTAAACACAATAGTTAGAAAAAAAAAAAGTAAGGTACACTTAAGTTAGTCTTTGTGTATGTGTGTGTGTGCTTACAAGTATATAGGTACTACTACATTTCTCCTGAAAAAAAAAAAAAATTTTAAATAGCAAAAGAAGTTGTGGGTTTTAACTGGAGGCTCTTACCAACTTATTTCCTTATTTTTTTACCTCACAAGTCCCAGGCCTGAACATAATATCAGTCACATTTTTGTTTTTCTCTGGCTACCATTTCTGAGATTTGGGGTATTTCTACTTATATAGAAACTCTGTAAATTAGGTAGCTGTTTTTTAGCAGTTGAAACCAATGGACCGTTTTATGTTCAAGAGGCCTAATAAATAATACCCCACTTTATCACCTGAATTCTGAGTCGGTTGAGAAACAATATAAACCAGCACAAACGGTGAAAGAATCACCTTTACTACAGGTAATGCTGAGACTGGAGAACATGGCTTATATCTGTGGGCAAAAAAGTCTTCCTCATATCAAATCCTAGAATTGACAGACTTACCCAGTAGTCACAGGCCGTACTGCCACAGGGACAGAGTCTGCCCCAGACAAGTGCTTCCTGTGGGCAGATCACTTCCCAGAGAAAGAGTGGAAAGGGCAGGCCTATGCATGCCCATCCCATCTCCCAAACTCCCCAGTCCAATCATTCCCCGCTCTCCTACAGGGAGAAATAAGTGAAAGGATAGAGAGAGCCCAGGAGTGTTGTCATGGATTGAATTGTGTCCCCCCAAAATGTGTGTCAACTTGGCTAGGCCATGATTCCCAGTGGTGATTGTCCACCATTTTGTCATCTGATGTGATCTTCTTATGTGTTGTAAATCCTACCTCTATTATGTTAATGAGGCAGGTTTAGAGGCAGTTATATTAATGAGTCCTTAGGTGGTATCTTAAACCAATCTCTTTTGAGATATAAAAGAGAGAAGCAAGCAGAGAGACACGGGGACCTCATTCCACCAAGAAAGAAGCACTGGGAGCATAGCGTGTCCTTCAGACCCAGGGTCCCTGTACTGAGAAGCTCCTTGACCAGGGGAAGATTAATGACAAGGACCTTCCCCCGGAGCTGACAGAGAGAGAAAGCCTTCCCCTGAGCTGGCACCCTAAATTCGGACTTCTAGCCTACTAGACTGCGAGAGAATAAACTTTAGTTTGTTAAAGCCATCCACTTGTGGTATTTCTCTTATAGCAGCACTAGGTAACTAAGATAAGTGTATACTAGTGGGGCTTCTCCACATGGAAGGAAACATCAGGAGTAAAGCAAAAGCCTGTCTCTACTCCCTCCTCCCTGCATATTCCAGGAGCTCAAGAGCAAGGCTGCAGTATTGAAATCAATGTGTGGACCCAAAATGAAAGATGCTCATGTCAAAATGCGAATGAAGAATGTTTGGAAATTGAAAAATGAAGCGACATGGAGTTAGATTGGGGAAGTGAGTTAACAGGACCTGAAGAACAGCAGACATAAGCCAGTAGGCATATGTAATATAGTTTTAAATGTATAAGCACCTGACTGAGGGCACGAGCTGGTCAACTGGACACTGTTTGCATGTGCTGTTTTGCAGGTAGAACGATTCTGGATGCAGAGCAATGCGGTAGTTGCCGTCCTTGCTGGCGTTGGTTTGTCTGCGCTTGTGTCTGAGAGTAACCGAGTGCTGAACAACGGCATTGGGCTTCAAGGTCTGGAGTGGCTTTCAGCAATGATTTTGGTAACTTACCAAATATATTCTAATTACAGGTAACACGTGGTTATTTTTCTGAAAAATAGCACTCAAGTCAGAGACATTAGAATATTTAGATTCTAGGATTTTATTTCATCTTTAACTCCCACTGATTTTCAAGACTCACAGTAAGGCAGCTTGGTCTGAATGCAGTGATTCTTAAATTTTGGGGTTGCTAAACCTCCTGAGGAGCCCTGGTGGCGCAGTGGTTAAGAGCTAGCCTGCTAACCAAAAGGTCGGCAGTTTGAATCTACCAACCTCTCCTTGGAAACCCTACAGGGCAGTTCTGTTCTGTCCTGTAGGGTCGCAATGAGTCGAAATCGACTCGAGAACAAGCAGGTTTGGTTGGTTTTTAAACATCCTGAACCAGAATGTCAACATGGGTGATGTGTCATCTCAGACCATTACAAGCAAGAATTTGAGTGGTGTGTGTAATTTGTGTCTTTTCCTCTGAAGAACCCCAGAGATACTTTGTGGAATCTGGAGTATATGTAAAATACCACTCAGATGGAAAGGAAAGACATTTGGGGCTTTTGGTATGCCCTAAAATAATTCTCTTTATACTTTAATGATTTCATCTTGAATAATGCCTGGCTCTTATCCAGTTCACCCTGTAGTAGTGAATATTAATTTTAAAATAAAGCTCTTAACTCTTATGCACTATTAATATATATGTGTTTTTTAAATTGTGTTTTCATAACTGTGACAATGAAAATCTCCATCTAACAGAAAGGATGTCCGAATTTCAGTTGAAAGTTCATTTGTTTCCAGCACTATTGAATAAGCCTTACAGAAATAGAGGCCTTTCAAGTGTAAAATAATACCAGTATTGTTTTTTAAAGATTAAACTTGCGTAGTCAATTTAACTTTAAAAACTGACATTTCTTATAATACCAGGATAGAGCCAGTGTTAGGAAGGCTGTATCACCAGGCGGCCTTGTGGGAAGAGAGTGAGGGTGCCGGACACATCTTCATAGCTAGCTCAAGAAGGGTTCGCCAAGCCCACTGTGTTTTTTTCAGCCTTTTTTTTTTCTTTTCATCCCAGTTGTCTCCTGCCTCAGGTCTTTAGGGCAGTTCAAGTTCAACACCAGGGATACTTGCACAGGCTTGGGTTTTATTTTATCTGGATTTTATTATTTGCCCCAGGAGAAGGAAGAGATAGCATCTTTTCTGGGTGGCAAAATGTGAGGCATCACTCTGCAAAGTAGGGTGTCATAGAGAGAAATGGTAATTGTTGCTCCATTACAAAGACAGGGATAATATTTTGTTCCTAGAGGTATTTATTTGCTTCCTGATACTAACCCAGTGATTCAACTTTAGGCTATGTTTCTCAGCTCTATTAAATGCAATGTACCTGATAATAGCAGGAAGGAAATTGCTTGTTCCATTTTTTGATGCTTTCACTCCTATTTAGTCTTTCTTTTTTCATGGAAAGCTCTCAGAATTCATGCCAGTTTTTCTTTGAAGTTAGAAACACCACTTCATTATTAAAAAGAGTTGTACTGCTGTTGTTGGCAATAGCAAATAATACCTCAAAAGAAGTAAACAACTCAACAAACTACTGCTTCCCCTTCTTCTCATTGGCCTCATTCCTGCTGATTTCTTGGTCTTGATGGGAGAGAGAAACATAAGGAGCCTGTGGTTCAGGGGAGTGGTGGAAAGGGTCAAACTCCAGAAGAGAGAATCATACAAATACTAAATTTATGGTAGAAATTGGTATATTTCCTTTTGCATTTCTGAAAAGTCCTTTGGAGTAAATGGAATTACCACTTTTTTATGCAAAAAAGCACGCATCACACTTTTTTTGCCAACCCTGCAACCCTCCACATACATTTTCTTAAGTGTGCTATCCCAATTTCTGAGCATTATACATGTGGGTACGTTATTTACTTGGGTGCATTATACAAGAAAAAATATGGTAACGTGAAGTTACTTTAAATTCCAAGTGGAATTGGAAACCTTACTTTTTTAATGAACTTACATATGTTTTTAGAGGGGAAAAAAAAGCCTTTTTCTTGAGTACTAAATGATTCCCTTTTTATGGAAAAGATGATAAATTCCATGAGTAAAGCAGTAGACTGATTTTTTTAAACTGCATAACTAGGTCTTCTCCTTTTTCTCATATGATGGTGTTCTCTTTTCAAATATATGCACCCTGTCAGAGGAAATACATTAGAATACTTTGAAATATTAGACGTAGATGGTGTGATGGGAAAGGAATGGGGTGGAGAATAAGCCTAGTCTATTAAAGCTGTAGCAGAGTGTTGCTGTTTTAATGGTTTTTCATCCTTTTATTTAGGATTTGTGACCAGAGGACCAACTATGTGATTGATAAATTTGCAAAGAACCTTCTAGCCTCTATGCCTCGTGATGCAATTATTTTACTCAGAGGAGATTTGCCAGGGAATTCTCTCCGTTACATGCATTACTGTGAAGGATTGAGGCCAGATATTTCATTAGTGGATCAGGAAGTAAGTATATGAAATATATACTTAGAATATAATAATAATAATTTAAAAGCATTTTTTTAAAAATGTATATATTTTTTAACAGTGAATGGGTACAGTTTTCATGATCACACTTAAGTAGAATATATACACATTCTTTTGTGTATTTTGACTGATAATATAAGTCATATAAGTTGCTTTTTCTCGTTTTAACTGAATGTTTTAAGAATGTGTTTCATGTTGGATTCAAATAATTTCCTAAGTCTGTAGTTCATCTCTAGGCCCCTAGGTGGCGCAAACAGTTTTCGCACGACTGCTAACCTAAAGGTTGGCAGTTCGAACCCACCCAGTGGTACCACAGAAGAAAAGGCCTGGCAGTCTGTTTCTGTTAAGATTACAGCCAAGAAAACCCTATGGAGCAGTTCTGCTCTGCAACACATGAGATGAGCATGAGTCAGAATCGACTCGATGTCAACTGGCAACAAACAACTAGTTCATATGACATACGATGGAAATAGTTATTGTATTGTAAGTTTATTTTTAAATTGTTCTTTTCATTCAGTCGACTCAACCATTCAAATTAATACTAGCCACGGGTCCAGGAATTAAAATAAATTAGGCTGAATATAAAATAAATCATACTGTGGGTAAGTAAACATTTTACTCAAACTAGAATTAACCACAGGTTCTGCTATGGAAATTTTGTATAAAGTCTGGATTTGGTTTGTTAATCCTATGAGAAAAATATGTTTGAAGAAGACTTGTGAAAATTTCAAGGGCTATTGAAACGCATTTCTGGAACTGAAGAAATATACTTAAATTATAAGATTTATTATTTAAAATGTAAGTACTTAAAAGGGAAGAATATCTATCTCTAGTGCTTTTAGAGCAGTCATCAGGAAAAGAGAAATTGTTAATCTTGAAAGAATAATATGATTCGTTTGAGTGAGCAAAATTATTAGGCACAATATTTATTTAATAAGTTTTGTTGAATGAGTGAGTAATTAGTGGTGTTTTGGAGAAAACTGTACAAATAGATTTGCATGTGTAGGAAAATTTGATAATTATACGTATTTTTATAAGAAGTGTGCATTTTATCATGTACAGAGATTGATTTACTTGAGCTTCAATCTAATTTCTGACAAAAGCTTAGTTTGTGTGGTTGATAAAATGGTATTGTACTTTGGTTTTAAACATTATTTGGGATGGCAGCTACTATAAGTGAGAAGCATGGATTTCAGAGTTAATGAGACTTAAATTCAGTTCCCCATTCTGTCACTTCCATGTGTGACATGGGACTAATGGTTTTTCCTCTCAGAGCTTCTGTTTCCTTATTTATAAAATAGATTGATCATTATATAAGTTAGGATGCTTTTTGATTGAAAGAAACAGAATACCTGAGTACAAGCAGTCTGAAGATAGGAGATTTTGGAACTTACGGTACAAGCAGTTCGATGATATTGGTGTTCTAGGGCAGCTTTTCTGTAATTCTCTTGAATTTTCCCTCATAGTCACAAGGTGGATGCCAGTTCCAAACATAACATCCTAAAATGACCATCTTCAAAGGCAGGAAACAAGATGCTTCGGGAACCTCTCTCTCTCGCTTTTTCTGTCTCTCTCCTTTTATAGGGAATAACATGTGCCCCCAGAAGCCCCTATCGGACCTCCACTTGCCCCCACTGGCCAGTACTGAGTCACATGCCCATTCATAAACTTCTCACTAGCAAAGGGAATGACTAGACTAGAGCATGTTGCTGACCTGAGCTACCTGATCAAAATCAGGATTATGTTAGTGAGGAAGAAGGTATTAGCTGTTGGGTGGGCAGGCAACAGTATCTGATGAAGTTATTCTCAGACAATAAGGTTATTATAAGAATTAAATGAGGAATGTTAAGGTCATAGCACACAGTTGGTACTTAATGTTAATATCCCCCAAACTAAAAATTTGGGTAATAAAATTTAATTCAGTAAGTATTTTTTGAGTTCTTATAATGTACAGCTAGGCTAAAATTAATTTGTCATTTGTTAGTTAAATGGTAAGCAAAACATGAGTGTAATTGTTAGGCTGATGATCTCCAAACAGTAACAAATCTTTGAAAGTGTAAGTAGGAGACTTGACTTTAAAAAGAAGAGATCTGTACATATTAAAGTATAGAGTTGTTATTTCAGAGATGTGTTTCTGGTATAAAGGATTTATTTTAATCAAAGGAAGATGTTGTTGTTGTTATGTGCCGTCGAGTCAATTCTGACTCATAGAGACCCTGTAGGGTAGAGTAGAGCTGCCCCATAGGGTTTTCTAGGCTGTAATCTTTATAGGAGCAGATCATAGGTCTTTCCTCCTGCAGAGTGGCTGGTGGGTTCAAACCTCCGACCTTTTGGTTAGCAGCCAGTGGAGCATTTAACTATTGCGCCACGAGGGCTCCTTAAAGGAAGATGTAAGGTTGTTGTTGTTAGGTGCCCTCAAGTTGGTTCCAACTCATAGCGACCCTATGTACAACCTGAACAAAACACTGCCAGGTCCTGCGTCATCCTCACAGTCGTAGCTATGTTTGAGCCCGTTATTGCAGCCAGTGTGTCAATCCATCTCGTTGAGGGTCTTCCTCTTTTTCACTGACCCTCTGATTCACCAAGTATGATGTCTTTCTCCAGGGACTGGTCCCTTCTGATGTCATGTCCAAAGTACATGAGATGAATTCTTGCCATCCTTGCTTCTAAGGAGCATTCTGGCAGTACTTCTTCCAAAACAGATTTGTTCGTTCTTCTGGCAGTCCATGGTACATTCAATATTCTTCACCAACACCATAATTCAAAGGCATCAATTCTTCTTCAGTCTTCCTTATTCATTGTCCAGCTTTCGCATGCATATGAGGCGATTGAGAACACCATGGTTTGGGTCAGGCCCACCTGAGTCCTTAAGGTAACGTAAGGACTCAAGATGTAAGGACATGTAATTAATTTTGAGGTTACAATTTGGAATCGACTCGACAGCAAATAATGACAACAAAATAAATTCAGATAATTTAGCCAAAAAGGCTTTTAAGTTTGAGACCTAGATTATCATATGATTGAGCTTCTCAAGGGCAGGGATTATATCTTTACTCATTATAGGTGAACAACGCTTGTTTTTGGAAAAAATAAAATAATAGAGTAATGATACGTCTTTATATTTTGTCTAGGATGTCTAGCCTGGCCATCAAAGAAATCTCAACTTCAGCAGACCAGTTTTGAGAACTATTCTATGCCGGGCAGTGTGCTAGATGCAGATGCATAAAAATGAAAAGATACGGTCCCTTCCCTTTAGGAGTTCACAGTCTAGTGAGGAATGGGTAAGAGCTATAATAGAGGCAGGTACAAAGTGCTGCAGGAGTATATCATTCTGGCTATGGGAACTGGGGAGAACATCACAGAGGAAGTGATATTTAAGCAGGTCCTAAAAGTTGAGTATGCATTCTCTAGGTATAAAAATGGGGAAATGTCATCCTAGGTAGTTAGCCAAATGCATGGAGGTAAAATGAAACAAAGTGCTGATGTTATTGATGGTAATCATACGTTAAGATATAAAATCCAAGTCATAAGAAAAGTAATCGGTATCACATAAAAAAGCTATGCTTGTATATATTTTTTTGTACTATGTATCCATTCACTGAGTGTATTTACATTTAAAAATCTTTTCATTGTACTCGATAAACTTGATTCTTCTAAGAAATGTATTAAAAGTCTGACATTGTTTGTGATTTTTCTGACAGATGATGACTTACGAGTGGTATTTACCCAAGATGGCAAAGCATTTACCAGGTGTCAACTTTCCTGGGGATCGGTGGAATCCTGTGGAAGGAATATTACCTAGTGGGATGGTCACATTTAATCTTTATCATTTTCTTGAAATAAACAAACAGTAAGCATTATTTTGGTATAATAGCTTTTCTAAAATCTTAAGCTTTTCTAAAATTGTTTATATAGCAGCTGTGCCTCATCCAAAACATCAATTTTCTGCACCTATTTCCCTGTCACCGGTGGGATTATCTTTGTAATTAAATTGAATATCTGCACATAAATGAGACGAGACAGAAATGCATGTTATTGTTCTGGGTAAAGGAAAAATAAGGACAGATTAGCAAGAATAGCAAATAAGATCTTAGTACAATTCAGAGAAATTGGAGATGTGCCTGCCTACTTGAAATCATTGCAGGTGGATCACAAGCAATTATAGTTTTCCCCAGATGAACATCAGGGCCCACTTTTAAGTGTAAAGCAAATGTTTTCCAGGAATAATCACTATATAAAAATAGCCTAAGATTTTTTTTTATAAAGGATAAGACATTTTTATAAGTAAGAAAAACGCCTACAGTTATGCTAGCTGAGATAAAACATGAGAATTGTGAATTCTCTACTTGAGAACACAGAATTATTTGTAGTTAAAGTCAAGCATAAATATCTCCTTCAGTAGTATGTTGTTGTTATTATTAGGTGCCATTGAGTCGGTTCTGACACTTAGTGACCCTGTGTGCAACAGAACGAAACACTGCCCAGTCCTACACCATCCTCACAATCAGTCGTTGTTACGCTTGAGCCCATTGTTGTAGTCATTGTGCCAATCCGTCTTGTTGAGGGTCTTCTTTTTCACTGACCCTCTACTTTACCAAGCATGATGTCCTTGATGAGGGACTGATCCCTCCTGATGACACGTCCAAAGTACATGAGACGTAGTCTCGCCATCCTTGCTTCTAAGGAGCATTCTGGTTGTAATTCTAAGACAAATTTGTTCATTCTTTTGGCAGTCCATGGTATATTCAATATTCTTCACTAACACCATGATTCAAAGGCGTCAGTTCTTCTTCCGTCTTCCTTAGTCATCATCCAGCATTTGCATGCATATGAGGCAATTGAAAGCACCACAGCTTGGGTCAGGCGCACCTTAGTCTTCAAGGTGACATCTTTGCTTTTCAGCACTTTAAAGAGGTCTTTTGCAGCAGATTTGCCCCATGCAATGTGTCTTTTGATTTCTTGACTACTACTTCCATGGGTGTTAATTGTGGATCCAAGTAAAATGAAATCCTTGACAGCTTCCATATTTTCTCCATTTATCATGATGTTGCTTATTGGTCCACTTGTGAGGATTTTTTTTCTTTATATTGAGGTGTAATCCATACTAAAGGCTGTGTCTTTGATTCATCAGTAAATGCTTCAAGTCCTCTTCACTTTTAGCAAGCAAGGTTGTGTCATCCGCATAACGCAGGTTGTTAATGAGACTTCCTCCCGTACTGATGCCCCGTTCTTCTTCATATAGTCCAGCTTCTCTAGTTATTTGCTCAGATAGGTATGGTGAAAGGATACAACCCTGGCACACACCTTTTTTACTTTAAACTGTGCAGTATCTCCTTGTTCTGTTCGAATGACTGCCTCTTAATCTATGTACAGGTTCCTCATCAGCACAATTAAGTGTTCTGGAATTCCTGTTCTTCACAATGTTATCCATAATTTGTTACGGTCCACACAGTCGAATGCCCTTACACAGTCAATAAAACAAAGGTAATGGTCTTTCTGGTATTCTCTGCTTTCAGCCAGGATCCACTTGACATCAGCTATGATATCCCTGATTCCACATCCTCTTCTGTATCCGACTTGAATTTCTGGCACTTCCCTGTCGATATACTGCTGCAGCCAATTTTGAATGATCTTCAGCAAAATTTTACTTGTGTGTGATATTAATGATATTGTTTTGATAATTTCTGCATTCCTTTGGGTCACCTTTCTTGGGAATAGGTATAAATATGGATCTCTTCCAGTCGGTTGGCCAGGTCTTCCGAATTTCTTGGCATAGACGAGTGAGCACTTCCTGCACTGCATCTGTTTGTTGAAACATCTCAATTGGTATTCCATCAATTTCTGGAGCCTTGTTTTTTTGCCAGCTCCTTCAGTGCAGCTTGGACCTCTTCCTTCAGTACCATTGGTTCCTGATCATATGCTACCTTCTGAAATGGTTGAATGTTGACCAATTCTTTTTGGTAGAGTGACTCTGTGTATTCCTTCCATCTTCTTTTGATGCTTCTTGAGTGGTTTAATATTTTCCCTGTAGAATCTTTCAGTATTGCAACTCAAAGCTTGAATTTTCTCTTCAGTTCTTTCAACTTGAGAAATGCCAAGCGTGTTCTTCCCTTTTGGTTTTCTAACTCCAGGTCTTTGCACATGTCATTATAATATTTTACTTTGTCTTCTCAAGCCACCCTTTGAAATCTATTTGGTTCTTTTACTTCATCATTTTTTCCTTTCGCTTTAGCAACTCAGTGTTCAAGAGCAAGTTTCACAGTCTCTTCTGACATCCATTTTGGTCTTTTCTTTCTTTCCTGTCTTTTTAATGACCTCTTGCTTTCCTCATGTATGATGTCCTTGATGTCATTCCACAACTCGTCTGGTCTTTGGTCATTTAGTGCTCAATGCATCAAATCTATTCTTGAGGTGGTCTCTAAATTCAGGTGGGATATACTTAAGGTCATACTTTGGCTCTCGTGGACTTATTCTAATTTTCTTCAATTTCCACTTGAACTTGCATATGAGCAATTGATGGTCTGTTCCGCAGTCGGCCCCCAGCCTTGTTCTGACTGATGATATTGAGATTTTCCATCGTCTCTTTCCACAGATGTAGTGGATTCGATTCCTGTGTATTCTGTCTGGCAAGGTCCATGTGTATAGTCACCGTTTATGTTGGTGAAAAAGGATATTTGCAATGAAGAATTCATTAGTCTTGCAAAATTCTGTCATGCAATCTCTGCCATCATTTCTATCACCAAGGCCATATTTTCCAACTACCGATCCTTCTTCTTAGTTTCCAACTTTTGAATTCCAATCTCTAGTAATTACCAATGCATCCTGATTGCATGTTCGATCAATTTCGGACTGCAGAAGTTGGTAAGAATCTTCTAGTTTTCATTTTTGGTCTTAGTTCAATAGTATAGTGTTGCACATTTCTTGTGTCTCTGAAATCCTTAGGATTATCCAGAGCTTGAAGAAGAAAGAGCTATTTCATTATTTCTATTGTCTCATAAAGGAAACTTCAGAAATTCTTTGTAAATTCCAAAGTTAAATTATCCTCTGCTAAGAACATCATAATGTGGTACTTTTGGTGTTCAAAGTGTGAAGTTTACTGTGACTCATGAGTAATACTTATGAAGGTAATGGATATAAATGTGCTCGTTATTAGTTGCTATCCAGTCAGCTCTGATTCATGACAGCCTTACGTATAACAGAACAAAACTTTGCCCTGTCCTGCACCATCCTAACAATCATTGGTATGTTTGAGCCCATCATTGCAGCTGTTATGTCAATCCATCTCACGGGGGCTTTCCCTTTAAGAGTAATATTTAATTTTTCTGTTTTGGAATAAAATAGTAAGAACCATCAAAATCCCCAAATAGGCATTTTTGTTCATTTTATTTAACTCAACCCCATAAACATTTATTGGATATTTACTGTGTTTGAATTTGTATTGGGCCCTGGCAATAAAAAGACGAATGACACTCATTTCCAAATTCAGATAGATCACAATCTAGTTATATAAATATACAGATATGAATATAAGTAATCATAATATTATGGGATAAGCTCTATACTTGCCTTGTAAAAGCATCATAGTAAATGCTCAATATATGTCCTGAATGGATAATTTAACTGACATCATAAATCAAGTATTCTGGGAGCATGGATGAGAAAGCACTTAATTCTGCCTAGGGGCATTCATTCAACATTTATTTAATACATTTTATGTGTCCAAAATGTTCCAAGCACCATACTAGCCAAAGATAAATGAGGCATGATCCCTGCTGTTGCAGTCTTTCAGAGGGAGTTTCAGGTGGCATTTTAAATATGAAACAGATAAATTACAGTATCATCTAGTAAGTGTGATAGACTAAGTATGGACAAAATTTGTTGGACACTTAAACTGAGTCTTAAAGGCTAAGTAGGAAATTGTCAAGTAGGTGGCAGAAGGCTGACTCGGGAACTGCATATGCAGAGTCATGAGAAGGGCCTGCTGACCTCTAGGGAACCTGGAGTAGCTCTGTTTGGCACTCTGGGCTTAGCGGGCTAGATGAGGGGATGAGTCTGCAGGGATGGTGGGGCATGGACTGTGAAGGCCTTTATCCTGTAGGCATGAAATTCCTCGTTATGGAAATATTTTATGCTCCTTGTGGAAAATCTAGACAATACAGAAAAGTGTAAAGATCAGTATGATCTATCTTTCAAGAACAACCACTATTAACATTTTGGTAAACATTTTTCTATTCCATTTGTTTTTAACATAAATTATATATTTATACCAAGCCCATTGCTGTCTAGTTGATTCCAACTCATAGTGACCCCATTTGTTACAGAATAGAACTGCTCCATAGGGTTTTCTTGGCTGTCATCTTTTTTTTTTTTTTTTTTTTTGGTGAATATGTACACAACAAAACATACACCAATTCAACAGTTTCTACATGTACAATACAGTGACATTGGTTACATTCTTCAAGTTATGCTACCTTTTCCAGATTATTTTACCATCATTAATATAAACTCACTGCTCCCTGAGCTTCTCATCTAACCTTTTGAGTTGCTGTTGTCAGTTTGATCACATATAGGTAATTCTTTAAAAGAGACAATGCTCAAGGCAAACGTTCTTTTCTAATTATGCTAAACAATTGACTTCAGGGGATAATTTTGGTTTAAGGTTTAAAGATTTCCTCAGGGCAGTGGTTTTGTGGGATTATCCAGCCTCAATGGCTCCAGAGAGTCTGGATTCCATGAGAATTTGAAATTCCATTCCACATTTCCCTCCTTTTGATCAGGATTCTTCTATAGAATCTTTTATCAAAACATTTGGTAATGTTGCCTGTAATCTTCATGGAAGCAAATCACCAG